CCAGAATCACTGTCATGTACACTAAAGAGTACAATTATAGTTCCAGGAAGACAGTCTTCAGAAACAGAACTGCTGAGAGAGGCGAGTACCACTTCTGGAGCATTGTCATTCACGTCCTGTACTGTGACCAGCACTTTAGCACTGGCAAGAAGAGCACCTCCGTCTTGAGCTACCACTTCCATGAGGTAGAATCTGGATTCTTCGTAGTCCAACGACTGCATAGTTGAGATTTCCCCCAGGTTGGAATCAAGTTGGAAAGTCTTGGAAATTATGTCTTCTTCATTGCGAAAAAAGTAGGTCACCTTCCCGTTTATCCCCTCATCTGCATCCGAGGCGGTTAGTGTGAGTAGCCGAGTGCCCACAGGTATATTTTCCGGGACACTTACTCTGTATTCCGACTGAGTGAACAGGGGTGCGTTGTCATTTGCATCGAGGACCGTCACGCGAATACGCGTGGTGCTAGAGAGGACTGGGTCTCCGCCGTCTAAAGCTGTGAGGAGGAGATCGTGCGTGGCCTCTTTCTCACGGTCCAGGGGCCTTTCCAACACCAGCTCCGGGTACTTTTGCCCATCAGATCCGCTCTTCACATCCAGAGAGAAATGCAGATTGGAACTGAGCTGGTAACTATGGAGGGAATTCACACCCACATCCGCATCTCGCGCAAAGGGAAGCACTAACCGTGTTCCTGCAGCCGCATTTTCACTAATTTTTACTTTTAATTCTTCATCACGGAATCGCGGGGGGTTATCATTAATATCAATTATTTCCACTTCTACTCCATAAATTTTCATTTTATTCTCAACCAATACGTTAAAGTTCACCAGGCACCGCGCGCTCTGGGCGCACAACTCCTCCCGGTCTATCCTGCCCGCGGTCACCAAGCTGCCGCTGCGCGGATTCAGAGAGAAAATCTGCGTCCTACCTCGGGTGACGATGCGGACTCCGCGCTCCGCCAGCTCCCGGGGCTCCAGCCCCAGGTCCTTGGAGATGTTCCCCACGAAAGCGCCTTTGTCCAGCTCCTCACGCACTGAGTAGCGGATCTGTCCGTTTCCTGGCTCGCACAATGTCGCCAGGAGCATGAAGAAGAGAAGCCAGTCTCTGCAGCCCCAGAGCCTCAGGGGTGCCGCCATCGCGGCCCTTTCCCTCCGTTTTCTCTTACTCCTGGTTCAGCCTGCAGTTTCCTTATTTCCCTAAAGCAAGGAGCGCATATTCTCGGGCGGAATTGAGGTGGGGTGCTTTCCCCAGGAGCCTAGCTGGTCTGCGTTAGGTATGGAAGGAGCAGATTTGGCGACAGCTTCTTTTCCACTTTGGTGAACAGCGACGCTCAGCGCCCTAACCAATTACTACACCCATCCTATTTTTATTTCCTGTAAACTTACATTTTTATTTACAAAGTTTTTGCACTACCGTTAATGTGTTACTTTATGACACTGCTTATTCTTAAGGTTTAACTATGAAATAATGAAAGACCACCACAAAACTCTGAGATCAATATAATTATTTCTTTACTTCCTTAGGAAAGTTTTATTCTACATGCCATTGAGCTTATATCTTTATTTACCCTTATCCATATTACATCTGTTTATTCTGGACATTGGAATTTTAACTGTTGATAATTTCAGGATTTTATCCTTTTATTGTATGTTATGAAGCAGCATTTGCATATAAGAATACCAACAAAACAAACTGAGCTCTGAGTATGCCTTTGAAAAAAGGTCTGTTGGTTTATACAAATTATATTAGCTGTCATATGAAGAAAAGGACAAGTTGTTGCTATTTTCGACATCTTTGAGAAAGAGTCCAGACTTTCCACATAAAAATACAGCACTACGTTAGACTGAGAGTTTGAGTCGGGGTAGCTGTGCATTATTTGTGTTTTCTATTATCATATTCAAATACTTATAGTTAGACCTTTTACAGTGACAGCTCGGTGGTGATCCATATAGAGATAGTGAGGCACAGGTAGCTTGTGATTCATGCAGAAAAGTAAGCCTTCATATTTACAGAGCAGCAGTGAGTAATGTTCTGTTGTTGGTGCAACAGATAGCTAATGTCATGACCTTTACATGGTAATAGAGAAAACCTCATGGCTGAAAAAAATTGACACTTCAGAAAAGAGTCCATCAAGTGAGAAAAATGATTTTAACTTAATGACACCCTGATAGGGAAAATTTTAAATAAATATATTTTGTATAATTTTAAAATTAAAAAATGTTTTAAAGTAAAATTTTGTAATAAATGACATAAAGTTTGTAAATTTTTATCAATGTGCAACTTTTCTCTAGAGCAGATTATTAATATGCATGGGGAGAATGATTTTTTATATTTATTAAAATATACCTTTCATAGCAAACACTTCAGACCTCACAACTGTCCATCCTTTAAAAATAGATATGGGATCCCAAGACATACAGCTTTGTAACACATCAGGTGTTGATCTTCAAGTTAGTGGAATACCCATGCTCTCTTGTTAACAATTCCATCCTTGTATCCACAAAGTTAGTGGTATCCACAAAGTTAGTGGTCCTTCCCATGCTCTCTTGTTAACAATTCCATCCTTGTATCCACAAAGTAGTATGATGAGGACTTTCTTTACCTTGAAGCACTATAAATGTTAAAGGAAGTAAACCTAAACTTTAAGAAAGACCCTCAAGGTGAAATGAAGCACTTACAGCCCCAATATGGACAAAGCTTCAGAAGGGAGGAATGTGAAGATGAGGAAGTAAAAGAAGTATCAACAAACAAAGCTCACACTTCAGATAGCCTGTCTTTAGGATGTGGTTAGCTAAAATTAAAATAGTTAAGACAGAACATTGTACAAAACTGATTCACAAAACAATGCAAAATGTAATGGAGTCTCCAACTTCAATTACGTGATTTGCTAAGAACCTTTCAAACCCTAAGTGAAAATAAATGAATTAAAGTAAAACTCACCTTTAAAATAGTATCGGACCCAAAGGGCACCACAGTGTTTCCATGATTGGTACTTTGAGCCCAAGAAGCATCTTCACAGAGGAGATCCTTAGGAGGAGCCATTTCCGGAGTCACGTTGAGAAAATTAAACTCTGTTTTAGCTGATTGCGAGGCAACGCATAGATTGTAGGAATAAGGCAAAGTTCTCTCACTGTAGTTGGAGGGAAGCACAGGTCCCGACTTGGAGCTGAGACCAGGTTGAAAACAGCCCCAGGCAGGTGGACTGGACGAGTGTCGCAGGCGCAGAGCAATTGCTAGGATGACAGCGAGGAGGAAGAGCACAGAGATCAAGGCCAAGGCCACCACCAGGTAGAACTGCAGCTCGGCCTGGGGGTCAGAGGGCACAGGCTCTTCCCTGAGGTCCGGCAAGACCTCTTGCAGACTATCAGCGAAAACAAGGTGCAGCGTGGCGGTAGCTGAAAGAGGAGGCTGCCCACCATCGCGCACCGCGACCAGCAGGCGGTGTCTGGCAGCGTCCTTATCGCCCAAGGCGCGAGCCGTGCGCACCTCGCCAGTGCGCAGCCCCAGGCTGAAGAGGCCCGGGTCGCTGGCCTGCAGCACGTGGTAGGACAGCCAGGCGTTGTGTCCCGAGTCAGCGTCCACCGCCACCACCTTGGTGACCAGGTAGCCGGGCTCCGCGGCGCGCGGCACGGTGTCGAAGAGCGCCGAGCCGTCGGGCGCCAGCGCGGGGTACAGCACGCGCGGCGCGTTGTCGTTGAGGTCTCCCACCAGCACGCGCAGGCTCACGTTGGCGCTGAGCGCGGGCGAGCCGTGGTCGCGGGCCTGCAGCGTGAGCTGGAAGGCGCGCAGCTGCTCGTGGTCGAAGGCGCGCTGCGCGAACACCACTCCGCTCTGTGAGCTCACGGACACGTAGGACAGCAGCGCTCGAGGCTCCAGGTCGCTGTCCACGATGGAGTAGGAGACCTGGCCGTTGGGCCCCAGGTCAGGGTCAGAGGCTCTGATTTGAGCAATGGAAGCTCCGGGAGGGTTGTTCTCAGCCACGTGGACCGTGTAGAAGGCCTGCTGGAAAACGGGTGCGTTGTCGTTGACATCTGAGATGTGTAGAAGGATGCTTGTGCTGGAGGAGAGGGGCAGTTTACCTCTGTCAGTGGCTGTGATGGTGATGTTGTATTCGGAGATCTCCTCTCGGTCTAGAGACTTGTCTGTCACCAGTTTATAATAGTTCTTTGATGAAGATTTCAACATAAACCCTGAATTTTCCGAGATGCGGCAGTACACGTCTCCGTTTTCTCCAGAGTCTCTGTCTCTCGTTTTAATCAAGGCGATAACTGTCCCTGGAGGTGAATCTTCTGGTAGTGGAGTAAATATGGAAGTCACAATCACTTCTGGTGCACTGTCATTCTCATCAAGAATTTCGACTTGAATACTGCAATGGGATGCAAGATCGCCAGGATCTTTTGCTTCTACATTCAACGTATAACTATTAGCAATTTCAAAATCCAAATTATCCTTTGTCGTGATTTCTCCTGTTCTTTTATCTAAATTGAAAAGCTGCTCCACATGTTCATCCACATTGTGAAAGGAGTAGGTGATCTCCGCATTAATGCCTTCGTCCTGATCAGTGGCTGTCACCTGAAGCACTGAGGAGCCCGGGGGGACCACCTCCGGCAACGTGACCCTGTACACATCCTGGCTGAACACTGGAGGGTTGTCATTGGCATCAGTGACTTGAATCTGGATCTGGGTGGTGCTACTTCGAGGAGGGTCTCCCCCATCCACAGCTGTTAGGATCAACTGATGAAAACTGTGCTCTTCTCTGTCCAGAGAATGTTTCAGGATCAACTCAGGATATTTATGTCCATTTGGAGTCTGTTTCTCTGTGAGATCAAAGTACTCATTATCATTAAGATGATATCTTTGCAGTGAATTAAGACCAGCATCTGAATCCAGGGCTGGATCTAGAGGAAATGTTTTACCTGGCTTAGTGGATTCTCCAATTTTCAAATCAATCTTACTTTGTTTGAATAGTGGAGTGTTGTCATTTATATCCTGAACAATTACTTCGACATGGAAAATATTCAGTGGGTTTTCAGCGACAGCATCGAAATCCACAATACACAGAAGCTGCTTCCCGCAAATCTGCTCTCGGTCTATCCTGTCACTCACAAGCAAGTCCCCGCTCTCTGAGTCTACAGTAAAGTATTCCTTCTCTGCACTGACCCGCAGCTTCCGCGCAGGCAAGTCTTGGTCACGGAGTCCCAAGTCCTTGGCGAGGTTTCCTACGACCGAGTTTTTGGCCAGCTCCTCTGGAATCGAATAGCGGATCTGGTCCGGGAGAGCCCGGCCGAACAAAGACAGCACAAAGGGCCACAGTACCTGCAGCCGCAGGGCCGGGCGGCTGGTCCCCGCTCTTGGTCTCATCTTCTGCCTCCCTCTGCTGCTGCTCCTTTGTGGATAGCAGGAAAAAAGCCCTCTGTGTACAGCTGATTCCCAGGTGGGGTTGCTTTTCCTGATTTTGTTTCCCGCATCCGAATTCGTACTGGTCTCTTCTGCGCGGTGGTTTAAGCAGGAAGTTACCCTCCGAGCCTCCCAAATGCATCACCGTCTCCCTTCTTTGGACCTATAGCGACGTCTAGAGGTTTTCTCAGGAAACTGCATGATTTGTAAACGTCTCAAAAGATAGTTTTCAGTTTATAAAGAATATTTATTTGCTTTTAAATTAAAATGTATTGATACTGGTTCAAATTCAAAAAGTATGTGTGCTGTAGATTCTTACTAGCATCTCTAAATTGTGTGGAATATTATACCAAGACAAATTTACCCGTCTTGTGTATCTTTCCAGATGTTTCGTATAGTGTGGCAGATTTTGAAGCAAATGTAAGCACACAACATACAGACTTTTGCTTTGTTACATTCATCATATATGTGTGTGATGTGTACATATATGTCATATATGTATATATAGTAAGGAATCATATCTTGAAGATCATTTAAAATCAGTACATAAAGAAGTTTCTTATTGATTTCTAATAGCTAGGTAGCAACCACCATATGGATAAATAATAATTTGCTTAGTTAGAACTATATGCTAAAAGAAATTCAGTGCTCTCTGAACAAAAATGTATTTTTCCTTATGATAATAGGTTATGTTATCTGTTACTTTTAGGCATTAAAATACTTACTCTGATTCTGGAATATAGTCTTCATTCTGGAACCTGAATATGGTTGACCAACTTTAGGCCAAGTAAACATTTCCAAATTATATTTCAATACTTTAGTATTTTAAATAATCTTTCCTCACATATGAGTCATCTCTTAACATTCATTTATTATTTTGTTTCCTTGACCCAAGTCAGCTAAATGCATCATCTCTCATTACCTTTTATTGTTACTGAACCACAACTTCCAATGTATAAAAATTATGAATAAACTATAACTCTTTTCTTTTTGAGACAGGGTCTCTATGCAGTTCGGGCAAGCCTTGAGCTCACTTTGTAGCCCAGACTGGTCTCGAACTTGCAACGATCCTCCTGCCTCAGCCTCCTGAGTGCTGGGATTACAGGCGTGAGCCACCATGCCCGGCTACTATAACTCTTTATAAATTTGATTGAGCCATAGTCCACAATTTTGCTATACTTTTCTGTCACAAAAAACACAAATTTGTGTAGACACAGGCATTCACAAACTCTGCAGTAACTCACAGAACTATATGAAGGCACAAAGAACAAGAATTTCATATTCCTCAAACACAAAATATTTTATCCTATATCAGATCATTGCAGGGCAACATAGTGACAGACCTGTCTCAGACCAATTTGTAGGGGCAGCAGTGGGTAGAGATGAGGCCAAATTATTAAGTAGCATGAATCACAGCAGTCCAGAATCCAACTTATCCAACCTTTATACAAGGCTTATTCAATGAAAACCAGAAAGATGCCAGAGTTAGACTTTCCTTAGAAATCAAAATGGAACTCAATAATGATGCCATGATAAGCAATTTAGAAATTATTAAAATGAACCCTATAATCTACTTACATATATGTGAAATAGAATGGGAAACATTTTTGGTAATCATAGGAGTAAACCAACAGAATCACACAAAGCCAGAGTCAGTGTATCTCAGATCAGTAACAACAAAATATTTGAAGTATACCAGCCCACTGAGACAATATGCCTGTTAAAATTGTATCTAAAAATTAAATGTTTTCTATAAATTGCCACTGCCTTTATTTCCAGAAAATAAAACTTCAAGCAAAGCACAGTTGATGGTAAAAAGGAGGAAATTTAGAAATACCCAGTCTTAGTTCAACATTAGCATCATGAGAAACAATGCCAGGCAGGTGCTTATGCCCCTGAGCTAAACTGCTGGCTGCAGGAAACAATGCTATAAATATGAATCTTTACAACTGCCTTCTATTTTACAGGTCTAATCTACCCCTTCCATAATTCATATCGGAAAATGGCATTTTAAAAACTGAATAATTTAGATGTGTAAAATGAAGAAATTGTTTGAGAACTGCTGGACTAAAAAGTGAATTCAACTCCCATGAAACATAAAATGAAGAAGTTTCTGCTGAAGGCATGACTAAATGAAGACTAAACAGGATAGTAAGTAGGTCTGGGGTTGTGGCTCAGTGATAGAATATTTGCCCAGCACGTTTAAGGCTCTGCATTCAATTCTTACCATCTCAAAAGAGAAAAAAGTAACAATGATTTTGTGGAGTAAATGTTATTGACTATTATTGACCTTCCCTGTAAAGCAACAGATTATCGATAAAGAGGTGCCTTTATTTGATACATTACATACCTTAATTAACTGGAGACTTTTTCAAAGTCTTGTGCCTATATTTATTTCACTGTTATAAAATACATAAAAGATTGAATGACTCACCTGAGGAAGATTAGGGTCTCCTTTTGTTTCAAGTAAATCCTGAGTTATCAGAAGAGGCTCACTTTTCTCACAGCTCTCTTGGCTGATGAGTGTGTCTGCGTAGTTGGGTTGTGGGAAGATCAGGTGGCTCTTTCTTGAGTCCGCAGTGAGTGAGATCTCATGTGAATACGTCTGCAGAAAAGCCTGCACCCCATCCACACCCACAAAGTGAGAGGTGGGCATCCCTGCTAACCCACTACTGGTAGACTGAAGGAGACGAGTTGTGTGCCAGCGCCGCAGCCTGAGTGCCAGTAGTACAATGACAAATGCCAGGAAAACACAGGAGACAGCTGCCACAGCCACCACCAGGTAAAGGGTGAGATCAGAATCATCAGGCTTGGTGGGGGTCCTGATGCTGCCCAGGTCAGCTAGGACATCTGGGATGCTGTCAGCCACTGCTATGGTGAGAGTGACAGTGGCAGAGAGAGGGGGCTGGCCGTGATCCTGCACAGCCACCAAGAGGCTCTGTTTGAGAGCATCTCTGTCCATCAGGGCTCTTGCTGTGCGAACCTCCCCCGTGTGCAGCCCCACTGAGAAAAGCCCCGGCTCACTGGCCTTGAGCAGGCGATAGGACAGCCAGGCATTCTGACCTGAGTCTCTGTCTACTGCCACAATCTTGGTCACTAGATAGCCAGGTTCTGCAGATCGGGGTGCCAGCTCCACACCAGTGGAGCCATCAGTCGGGGGAGCAGGGTACAGGATCTCGGGTGTGTTGTCATTCTGGTCCAGCACAAACAGGTTAAGTGATACATTGCTGCTGAGTGGAGGGTTCCCGTTGTCCCTGGCAGTCACCAGTAGCTGCAGATCTCGGAACTGCTCATAATCAAAGGAACGCAGTGCATACAGGACACCAGTGTTGGAGTTGATGGAGACATAGGATGACAGAGGTGCCCCCTGAATGGTGTCCTCAGCCAGGGAGTAGGTGACTTGGGCATTCTCTCCACTGTCAGGATCCTGGGCTGTGATAGACAAGATGGAGGCCCCTCTGGGGTTGTTTTCCTGGATGTAGGCAGAGGAGGAGGCGTGAGTGAAGGTAGGTGGGTTGTCATTGATATCCACCACCTGCAGTGAGATATGAGTCTCTGTAGACAGTGGTGGAGTTCCCTGGTCTGTGGCAGTTACTGTAATGTTATATTCTGAGACTTCTTCCCTGTCCAAACTTCTGTGTACCAACAACCGATGATAATTTCCATAGGTCTTTTCAAGCCTGAATGGTAGGTTATCCTGAATAGAACAAACGACAAGGCCATTCTCTCCTGAGTCACTGTCATGCACATTGAAAAGTGCAATCACTGTACCTGGAGAAGAATTTTCTTGAATTGAGTTGATGAGAGAAGTAACTGTGACTTCTGGAGCATTGTCATTCACATCCAGAACTGTCACCAGAACCTTACTTCTGGCTAGGAGACCAGGTCCATCATGGGCTTCTACATCTATGTCATAGAATCCAGAGTCTTCATAATCTAGCTCTCCCACTATTGTTACGTCTCCACTCAAAGAATTCAACTGGAATAGCTGGGATATTTTGTCTCTTGCTTTCCGGAAAGAATATGTCACTTCTCCATTGGCTCCTTCATCTGGATCAGTGGCCTTTATAGTGAGGAGCCGAGTGCCAATGGGCAAGTTCTCGCGAACACTTATGCGGTACTCAGGGAGAGTAAATACAGGAGCGTTGTCATTGGTGTCCATAAGTGTTACGTGAATCCTGGCAGTGCTGGAGCGAACCGGGTCTCCTCCGTCCACAGCAGTGAGAACGAGATCGTGCACGGCCTCTTCCTCGCGATCTAGGGCGCGCTCCAGCACTAGCTCTGGGTACTTAATCCCGTCAGCCCCGCTTTGCACGTCCAGGGAGAAGTGACTATTGGAGCTGAGCTGGTAACCTTGCAGGGAGTTTATCCCTATGTCTGGATCGAAAGCTTCTGGGAGAGGAAATCTTATCCCAGGAATTTCATTTTCAGCAACTTTAATTTCCCTCTGCTCTGTTCCAAAGGTGGGCGAGTTATCATTAATATCGATAATTTCCACTTCTATTTCAAAAATCTTCACTTTATCCTCTAAGAGAATCTCTAGGTTTGCCACACACCTTGGAGCGCGGTCGCACAGCTCCTCCCGGTCTATCCTGCCCGCAGTCACCAAGCTGCCGCTTCGGGGATTCAGAGCAAAGAGCTGGGTCCTACCTCGGGAGACGATGCGGACTCCGCGCTCAGCCAGCTTCTGGGGCTCCAGCCCCAGGTCCTTGGCGACGTTCCCCACCACAGCGCCTTTCTCCAGCTCTTCGGGCACTGAGTAGCGGATCTGTTCTGCCCGGATTTCCAACAGAGCCCCCAGCAGTATGCAGATCCAGACCAGTCCACTGCAGTCTGGTGAATACCGAGGAGCCGCCATTACCTTCCGGCCGCGAATGTCCTCAGCTGGGTGTCTCTCCGTGAGCCCTGAGGAGTCTTAGGATTCTTGCCTTCCAAAACGATGTGCATTCGCCATGGGGTGCTGGAGCTCGCGGGGATCCGGGCGGAAGGTCTCCTGAAGCCCCAGAATCAGTGCTTTGTGCTGCAGAAATCTCCCTGGGGATGAAATTTCTGGTTGTCTTTTCCCCGGGATTGGTGAACAGCGACGCTCAGAGTCCTAACCTATTATTGCAATTTATTGTTGATGCACGGCTTTTAATGTACCTTTCGTATTTCTAACCCTATTTCTCCCAAATAGAACACAACTCAAAATTCTGTTGTTTAACTTGCAGTGAAAATATAGGAATGACCAAAATTTTCCTGCATGGTAAACTTTAAGCTATTTATTTTCTCAGGAAAGTGGTGAGTTTGGCTTTTTTTTTTTTTTTTTTAAAGATAGGGTCTCGCTATGCAGTTCAGACTGACTTTGAGCTCACTTTGTAACCCAAGACAGTCTCGAACTTGCAACAAACTTCCTGCCTCAGCCTCCTGAGCTTGGCAATTTTTTTCCTGTATTAGGGTCTTGTTAGAGAAGAGTTTGGCAATTTTTAAAAACATCCTTTCAGCTTTTGCATTGTTCACTTCCCACCTCTGTAGCCCATATTGTGTGTGTGTGTGTTTAATATGTTGTGTGTTGTGTGTGTGACACATCCACTTCTCCTAGGAGCAAGAGTGAACTTGAAGAGTGGAGGAAAAGGATGGGTGAAAAGACAGTAGTGGCTTCTAGCTTGGAAGTCCAGCTCTAGTCACAATAATTGCATAAATGTTTTTATTTTTACTTGAGTTCATCTTTTAGAACCTGGGGCAACTTTTCAATTCTGTTGCAGCAAGATACCTGTAGTTCAAGAGATAATCTTACCTTTCTGCAAAATGGGCTTGGCAAAAATGATTCGAGACTTGGAAGAAAATTTGCTGATTAATTTTGTATATAAGAGAGTCTAACCCACAAGCCATGTCTGCGACTACTTGGTTCACAGTAGATCTTTAGAACAGCAACTTTCATAGAGTTTTTCATCGTTTAATGAATGACGTACCAAAGCAAATGTAACATCTCAAGCAATGGATAAAAAGCAGCAGGCCAAAGTACTATAAAGAGCAGATAATATTTCAATGATTTTATAAAAATATAAGATGCCTCCAGGAGCCTTGTTTTACCATTACAAATGATAATCATTTTGTCATTACTTTTATTTCCTCCTTTTTTGAGACGTGGTCATGCTATATAGTCTAGGATGTCCTTCAACTCATGATGATCCTCCTTCCTCACCCTCCCAGCTGCTAGATTACAGGCATGTATAACCATGCTCAGATATTTTTATTTCTTTAGTTTTGATTTTAGAGACATCGAATAAAAAGAAATATTTTAGTAGTTGTGTATGCATTGTTATTGAATATATAACTTTTTTTATAATTCAGGATAATTCAGGACCTCAAGCATGCTAGGCAAATGTTTACCATTGAACTATATCTGTAGTCTCCTCATAGCTTTTTTGAGTATAACAATGTGAGAAAATTTGAGATAAAATAAGTTACTAATTTTATCTCTTTAGATTACTCCTCACTTAGTAATTAGCATATAGAGTTGACTTAAATTTTAAGTTGACAAAAACATTTACTAACCAACAGAAATTTTACATCTTCACATTTTCAGGAAGTGGATTAATGGTGTTTTATTTCACAATCCTTAAAAGAGTTGCTGATTACTGAGGAAATTACAATGAAATATTTTGGAAATAAATTCGATAATATGCATAAAAATCTCAGTACTCATAGATTTGACTTATTTCTCAGAAATCTGAACTAAAGAAACCAGAAATGTAGAAAATTATAAATAAAATGTTCATTACATTACTTATTATAACAGTAGCAAGAGCATAAAATCAATGACTAAAGGTTTGTTAAGAAATTTATGGAACATACTTCAGTGAAATCATAAAGGAATTGTGGGATTCAAAGTTGGTGATCTAATGTAAAATGTGAATTTTTGCTACTTGTAGTAACACAAATCAGTGTCAAGCGGATTAGTTACTGGAAGTTTGGGCTAAAAAGATATTTTCAGCAAAAAACAAAAACTACAAATGAAATTGATGAAGATGAACATATATTTTAACTTCAGTACACTTACAAAGAGTTAAGTATATGACTACTTAAAAAACAGTATCACTTCAAGGAATGGGTACTGGGATTATCTGAAGTGCTGACATTCAAAAAATCATTTGTCTACAAGATTTGCCAACCCTAAAGAAATGCCAATAGTAAAAACCAAAAATTAGTAAGCAGGTAATTTCGAAGACGACAGAGCAATCAAAAAGCTAATTTCCACACATCCAATAAGCTCCCATCCCGGGTACCACCATTAGGACTACCGAAAACGACTAACATTAGTTATGCATGACAGAACCAAATGCAAAATGTAAAATTCAAACTGGATTGTGAACACTTACATGAGAAGAACAAGAAGAATCATAAACTAATTTGGGATCCTCAGTATTGGTGCATGCAACCGTAGAAGGATCATCACACAGGAGGTCCTGAGGCAAAGTCACTTCCGATGTCATGCTGAGAAAATTAAACTCTGTTTTAGCTGATTGCGAGGCAACGCATAGATTGTAGGAATAAGGCAAAGTTCTCTCACTGTAGTTGGAGGGAAGCACAGGTCCCGACTTGGAGCTGAGACCAGGTTGAAAACAGCCCCAGGCAGGTGGACTGGACGAGTGTCGCAGGCGCAGAGCAATTGCTAGGATGACAGCGAGGAGGAAGAGCACAGAGATCAAGGCCAAGGCCACCACCAGGTAGAACTGCAGCTCGGCCTGGGGGTCAGAGGGCACAGGCTCTTCCCTGAGGTCCGGCAAGACCTCTTGCAGACTATCAGCGAAAACAAGGTGCAGCGTGGCGGTAGCTGAAAGAGGAGGCTGCCCACCATCGCGCACCGCGACCAGCAGGCGGTGTCTGGCAGCGTCCTTATCGCCTAAGGCGCGAGCCGTGCGCACCTCGCCAGTGCGCAGCCCCAGGCTGAAGAGGCCCGGGTCGCTGGCCTGCAGCACGTGGTAGGACAGCCAGGCGTTGTGTCCCGAGTCAGCGTCCACCGCCACCACCTTGGTGACCAGGTAGCCGGGCTCCGCGGCGCGCGGCACCGTGTCGAAGAGCGCCGAGCCGTCGGGCGCCAGCGCGGGGTACAGCACGCGCGGCGCGTTGTCGTTGAGGTCTCCCACCAGCACGCGCAGGCTCACGTTGGCGCTGAGCGCGGGCGAGCCGTGGTCGCGGGCCTGCAGCGTGAGCTGGAAGGCGCGCAGCTGCTCGTGGTCGAAGGCGCGCTGCGCGAACACCACTCCGCTCTGTGAGCTCACGGACACGTAGGACAGCAGCGCTCTAGGCTCCAGGTCGCTGTCCAGGATGGAGTAGGAGACCTGGCCATTGGGTCCCAGGTCAGGGTCAGAGGCTCTGACTTGCGCAATCGAGGCTCCAGGCAGATTGTTCTCTGCCACATGGACCATATAAGAGGTCTGCTGGAAGACAGGTGCATTATCATTGACGTCGGTGATGTGCAGGGTGACTCTTGCTCTAGAGGAAAGGGATGGTTTCCCTTTATCAGTTGCTGTAAGGGTAATGTTGTACTCTGAGGTCTCTTCCCGGTTTAGGGCTCTCTCAGTCACCAGCTTGTAGTAATTCTTGGAGGTGAATTCTAATTTGAAGGGAACTTCTTCCTGGATATAGCACATCACCAGGCCATTTTGCTTAGAGTCTTTGTCTGTCACTTTGATGAGGGCTATTATGGTTCCAAGGTCTGAATCCTCTGGAATATGGTTAGAAAGGGACACGAATGTCACCTCTGGAGCATTGTCATTCTCATCAACAATTTCAATCTGAACATTACAGTGAGCTGTGTGCACACCTCCATCCTTGGCTTCTACTCCCAAAATGTATCTACTCCTTTCTTCAAAGTCCAGTGTACCATTGGTTGTGATATCACCAGTATTTGGATTGAGGTTGAAGAGGAAGCTAGTGCTTGTTGGAGCATTGAGGAAGGCATAAGTGATCTCTGCATTAATGCCTTCATCCTGGTCTGTGGCAACTACCTGCAGCACGGAGGTTCCTGGGGGCATGTTTTCTTGGAGAGTAACTCTATATATGTCCTGACTGAATACTGGAGCATTATCATTGGCATCAGTAACTTTGATCCAGATTTGCGTGGTGCCACTTAGAGGTGGGTTCCCACCATCAATGGCAGTCAAGATTAAATGATGCAATCTCTGATGTTCCCTGTCTAAAGATTTTTCCAGCAGTAATTCTGGGTATTTACTTCCATCAGGACTTTCTTTTGTTGACAGAGAGAAATGTTGATTAGGATTGATCGTGTAGATCTTCAGTGAGTTACTTTCAACGTCTGCATCTTGTGCAGAATCCAAAGGGAATTTTACTCCTGGTAACGCTGACTCACAGATTTCCAATTCAATGCTTTTTGCAATGAAATGTGGTGCATTGTCATTAATATCTTGGATTACAACAATCACATGGAAAATATTCATTGGATTTTCAGTGACTGATTCAAATTCCAGCGCACACTCAGATTTTCCTCCACAAATCTTCTCTCTATCTATTCTGCCACAAACTAACAAGTCCCCGCTCTCCAGACTCACATTGAAATAGTCTTCCGCACTAACCCCCAGTTTTCGAGCTGGCAACTCCTGGACACTGAGCCCAAGATCCTTGGCAAGGTTCCCCACCCGAGAGCCCTTGGCTAGCTCCTCTGGAATGGAGTAGAAGATCGGCTGGGAGATGGCCAAGCAAAACAAAGAAAACAGGAAGGGAAACAGTACCTGATTTTTCATGGTTTCAGCTTCCCTGGAGCTTCTCTGCGTTTCTCTCTCTTTCTCTGGGAAGCTTCGTTTCAAGGTTTCTCTGAGATTCGTTTTAAAATCAATGACAGCACCCTGGGCTTTTGTAATTTGAGGGTATCGCTTATTTAGGCGTTTGAAGGTGCACGGGAGTAGCTCCTCAGTTTTGATAAATGCAGGATAAAGGAAGAAAGCACTAGCCAGCCTCGTCCTGCAGAACCAAGAGCCCTCTCTTCCCTTTGGTCAACAGCGGCGCCCAGAGGTTGTTTTGGAATACTGCGGACTGCCCAGCTATTTATCCTTAACGTGCAAGCTTGATTTTACTTTGTCTTTTAATTTGCTTGAAAGAAAGAAATTTTTGCATTCCCAGAAGTTTGACATTTCCTTGTTTGTCATCATCTCATAAACATCTTCATCATTTTACATTCTTCTTTTTCATTTCTCGGGCATGGTTATTTTTTCAATTTTGGTGGCAAGAGTATCTTCCAGTGATTTCACTGAATGGTATTTATAAATTTGGGTGTGATGATGTATCCAAATAAGTGAATGGATTTTATCTATCTTAAGTGCGCTATAGTGTTTTATTCAAATTCACTGGAATAACTTTCCTTATTTATGATTTTTGTTTATTTTTATTTTATTGAGGATTTAGATTTCTCCATATACATTTTGTTTATATAGATTTTAAAAAGGGGGAGAATCAAGGTTCTGAAACTATTTTAGTGTATTGCTCTCCTTTATAAAATATAATATTCCCAGCTCAATAGGGCAGAGTTAAAACTAAAGAGACCAACTTCATATTTAGATACAAATGCTTTTATAATACTGAAATTTCATAAACCATATTTATTTCTATGAAACCGGTGCTTTCTTTCTATAGGGATGTATATGCAACACTTGATAATTGCAGCTCTAAGCTTCGATGAATTTATGCCATTAACGAATTCAATGAGTTTGACTTGAGCATTGGTAAATATTGGAAAGATGTTGAGAGTTCTTAGACACTCCATTTAAAAACTCATTCTGGGCTCAGGTATTCAAGCAAACAAATCTTTTTATTTCAAGAGCACTACCAACTTAGATACAGTTAGTTTGATTTCATCCTGTAATTTCATGTATTGGAAAATGAATCTGAAAACCACATTTTAAGATATGAACACGTGAGAATTTTGGGAGATGTCCTGAGAGCTCTGCCTTCATTAATGAATTGATCTATGAGTGGATTATCAAATAAGAGGCTTTGTTGTAAAAGCAGCTGTCTCTGACTCATTTTGTTTTCTCATAAGCTACCCTCTGTCATGTGTGCAAGAAAGTGCTACCAGATGCTGACTAGATGATGGCACCATGTTCTTGGGCTTCCCAGCCTCCACTAGCTAAACAAGCATCTATTCTTTATGAACTACGGGATCTCAGATATTTTGTTAAAGCAACAAAAATAGATCAAGACGGATGCCAACTCAGCAATTTATTCTATTATTTTGCAGTGCTTACTTATACTCCAGTTGAAAAGACTATTATCTATTTTCTACGACAAACTTTCATTTTTTTAATTCTAGGAATCTTTCCAGAGATTGAGATTTTGATTTTTACAAAATCCTCCTCAAAGAGCAATAAATACTACTCAAAGGCTCATAATGGCATATTCAACTGAACTTTTAACCTTCAAGCAAAAGGCTGAAATTAATGGGAACACACACACACACACACACACACACACACACACACACACATTTTAGGCACTAAAGGTAAACAAATGACCAATGTCTATATTTTTATAATATAATTTTTTTGTCTTTTTTGTTTTTTATCGGTACCAGGGATCGAACTCACGACCACCTGCTTGCAAGGCAGGTGCTTATGCCGCTGAGCTAAATCCCCAGCCACTAATATAATTTTTATATCCTTTTGATGAAAAGATTGTGGTCTGGTTTGGAAACAGAGCACAAACATCTTGTATTTATACATATTTGTGACTTGTTTGTATAATGCAGGATAGAATATGTAGGCTGGAGTGAGAAAATTTATATCACAGGGACTTAAAATGTAAAAGGTATGGCTAGGGGTGTAGCTTACGAATACAGTACATGCTTAGCTTGCACCAAGGCCCTATGTTTACTTCCCAACACCCAAACAAATTAAATTGTAAAAAGCCTATTTATCACAAGTATGTAGACCAATGCTGGATAAACCACAGGGCTCTTATTTCATTATAGTTACTCGAGGACACAAGCAGAAGAAGCAGCCATTATTTCAAAAAGATCGGGAAATTCTCACAAAGGCAATCATACCCTTTCCAGGAAGAGATGTATGTATGGTAACTGGCACTCAGAATAATATTTTGACAGAACTATTTACGTAGGCCCACAACTAGCATAACCCAGCCAGGAAGCACAAAGAGAGGGGCAAATATTTATACGACAGAACTAAAGACAGTTTCATTACTTTATTTGCTTTTTACTATATTATGTTTACTTACTATACATTACGTTATTTACTATATTACGTTCATTTCTCAAATAAACGTGTGTTAACCTTTATAACAATCACTTTGGCATACTTGTTTTCAAGTTATTCAAAAAGTGAACTCACCTCAAGCAGCTTAG